AAGGCGACGTGTGAGAGAATCCGTCGTTTGTCGCTCGGTCGACAATCAAATTACGTATCCTCTAGCGGCCGACGATTACGTCCTGCCTAATACGGCTAGCACGCTGACACCCAACCCTTCACCTTCCTTAATGTGCATCTCTCCACAACCTCTTCTAACCCCCTAGAACTCCCAAGAAAGCTTTTGTTTTGCGCAAAAGCTTATAGCAACATTGCGATGAGCGTCACAATGTCTTCGAACCCATCCACTGTGAATGCTGGCAGGTCTGCGGGCCGGGGCTTTAGCGACCTTCCGCAAGGTACCATACCAACCTCGGCACAACTTGTTCTCAGCTCACAGACGCGTAGAGGTGCGCAACAGGATATACGCACTTGCCGCGAATGACAAGCAGCGCCTTGTTGAGCAGCACGTCAGCCGGCGCAGTGTCACAACAACAAGTGAAGCGTTCTGGGCTGCGCGCGGTTACTACAGCTTGACTCAGGCGTCACGACAAACGCGTCGCGAGTTCCGCGAACTGTACTTCAGGGACCGTGCCGTATCGGTGCACATCCGCGATGCGCAAGACTACCTGGATGCCATTTACCCGTCATCCGGCGATTTTGCCGTCGATCGCAACACCATCAGCGCCTGGCTCACAATACGCACTGATGTCGAACGCCGTGGCAAATACGATACACCCATCGAAATCCGTCCCCTGCTTCTAAGCCTTTTCCAAACGCCTGGTCTCGAGTACGAGTTCGTGGGCAAGGGAGGCGCGATCTTCAACGAACTATTTGTTGGTTATGAGGCGGAGTGGAAAGCGGCAGCGGAGGGCGTCTTTAAGAGCGTGGAGCTGAAGGAACCCAGCGTATTCGGTTTGAGGCTAGTACTGAGTCCAAAAAGCAGAGAGCCTTGGGTCAAGCAGTGTAAAATATCAGTGACAAGGCTACCACATGTACCAGAGGATGCATTGGAGTGGTTCAGTGCACTCGGACTGGACACGGAGAACGACATGATCTTCGTGAGGAAAGGTGCGCCGAAGTGGCTGCGCGGCGACTTCATCAAGGGTTCGAAGTAAATGTGGCGATATGAGTTTGTGACAGAGATATGTCTCGGTGTCAGAAGTTATGGTTGTGTTGATATGGAGTTGAATACTGATTTTTGAGTTGACTGCAGGTACCCGTGGACGTGCAGCGTTCCGAGATCGGGTGACCGTGACGTAATCCAGGTGCCGCTCGCGATGCGCGATGAGCTGCCAGGAACCCAAACGACAAGCAGACGCGTCGATACAGGCCAGCGCTCACATTGACTTTCCGGGTCTGCTTCTGTATGCTGCACGTAGCTGAGAGCCTGGTGGGCTCCGGCGGCGACTGACTTCTTTTGGAGTGTTCCCTCTTATCCAGGCAAAATACCGTGTTTTCCACAAACGAACGCTGGGAGTCAATACATCACTTATCATACTTATTCGAAACACCATGGAGATGTCTCCAGATCTAGAACTGGTGAATCCCACGCGACAAGCATGCTGGCGGCTTCCAGCAAAGCAACAAGGAGCAGCTCGAAACGCAACCGCCGAAAGACCTCACAAAAGCTGTCATTTCACATAGACACAATGAGGTATGTACTGAAAGCTACTGAACAAGATGAATACGCGATACTAACGTTCTTTGGTCGCTACGAGCCTATCGCAAGCATACCGCAGATATCAGCCGTCGATCCGAGCGCGCGAGCGGGCTACTCTCCGCAGGTTCCACCGAGCCGTCACTTGTTGCCAGCCGCTCCTTTCGTGGAGCTGGTCATTCCTCCAGTGTTTCTACTCTTGAAAGACCCAATAAGTCTATCATCAGAGCTATGTAGCCATGATGATGGGTGCGTCATCGCGAACGCTGACGCCTGACGCGCGTACAATCTCGAGAGTGTTCCTTTGACTACGTCGATACGAAGAGATGCATTTTGCCCATGACTTCTGCAGTCCGGCCCAGACTCATACTCGGCTATGTTAGGAGTGTGGTCCGTTGTACGTATTGACCAGAGATCATCTTCGAGGAGCACGATGACAAGCTTGACTATTTCGACATATTACCTCGGCACACCGTTCGAATGTCTCATCTTTTCTAACGAGAACAACCAGGTTCTTATCCTGCAGTGGTCACACGGGCGTTGTATCGATCCTTCTGGCTTTATCGGACTCGCATTCGCACAAGACATAACGCTCCACCTTGCAGGTGATCGTCGCCCCCACGAAGGTGCGCACGATTCGCAATGCCGCCGAACTGGACTATTGAATTTGGGACGACCAACAGGTCTGGGAATTGGCTGTCAACAGGGGCTTTCTCGCATCATCTGAGAGTTTGGCCTTCACCTGGAGCTTGTGTCTGGATACCAAATTGTGGATATGGTTCTGAACGCAAGGCTCGCCCTACAGCACTGGTACCAGGGATGACTGAGCACTATCATCAAATGGTACACTTCTTTTTCCATTCCTTTTGGTGAGTGATCTAGGGACATGGGGAGGATGATGACATGGACTTTTAGCACGATTTCTGCGGTGAGACACCAACACTCATCGCTTCTTCTTCATGGTTCGGAGGCACTGCGCGCACGATCTCGTATGCGTCAAATTGTGGTTTCGGGTAGCTTTCGGTGCTACGCAAACTCGGTGTCACATCCCTCGCTGTCGCATGCGCCACGGAAATCGGCAAATTAGCGACGCGCGAAAGCCACCTCACGCGAGCCACACTTCCGCGCTTTCCGCACCGCCCCTGCTTTGGCCAATCACACGGCGGCCTGCGCCATAGAAGCCATGCTAAGCTTCAAAATTGCGGCGCCATTTTGATGAGACTTCTGCAGTGTGCTGGTGCGGCTAGTCCTGCATGGTGATTTAGAGCTGCTGATGACATGTGGCTAGGAGTGGCTTACGCACGCCGTGGGGAAGGGATTGGGCAGAGCATATATAGCGTGAAGCCCCCGTTGTGGCTGTGTGAAACGCACCACAATTACCATCGTCTACTACTCGTTTAGTCTAACGTTGTTGCGGTACGGGCCTAGCGCTATCCTGATCTACGAGACGAACGCCACCATGTCATTCGAAACCTACATACAACGCGCAGACAACTACATCACCAAACAGATCCACAAGTTCGAGCAACAGAGACGCGGGACCAGATCACCGCCGCGTGCAAATGGATATCACCCAATGCCTGTCCTCCATGGGCAACAGCAAGGCCGGCCGCAGTCTCAAGGTGGCTACCCCGGCAGCCCTGCTCCCCAAGGTGGTGCACCGTCAGTACCGCAGGGTTGGATACAGGAGTACGACACAAGGAGCCAACGTTGGTACTACATAGAGAAAGCTACGGGAAGAAGTCAATGGGAACCACCGTCTTTCGCCCCGCCGCGCGCCGCTACGTTCCAGCCCGACGTCCGCATGCCCAGTCCATACGAGCGTTTCACCCGGGAAGACGAGCAAAATCAACGATGGCGCGAGCGATCCAGTTCTCAGCCACAACGGCCAGGGTCTGGTGTAAGTGGCCATGGACAGTTCCTCGATCCGAGACAGAACGAAGGAAGTGGAGGCGGCAGTACAAGCCCAGGTGGCATGCATAACCAGTTGCCACCAGGGTCACATTACGATATGAAGACGGGGAAGGTGGTCAGTAGTATGTTCCCGGAGGGTCAGACTCATCACAGCTGGCAACAGGAGATACAGAGGATATGATGTTTGTTAAAGATGCTGGAGGAGGAATCAGAGCGACATACATAATGTCACCGACATGGAGTTCTTGCTTTACGGAAAGGATACCTTCGACGAGTCGATGAGTCCTGGTGTTATGAGTCTTTGATCAAATGTCTGTTGTACAGGCGACTGCGATAGAACTCTTACCGTTGTCACAACACTAGCAACTGTACTGCGCCTTCTGTAACTGAACTTTGGAGATTCTCGTATCCCAAATGATCTCGTAGCCTCATGCCGTAGCTCACAGTTTGGCTGCTCGCCGCGATTGCCCTGTAAAGCTGCCGTCACTTCATCTCGTGGGAGTTTTCAACACACATCTGCTTTGTGAGGATGTAGAAAGCACATTCGGCTGTAAGCAGGCCTCGAATTGACCTAGGAGTCTACATTGCTACTAAACTTTCCATTTGTCTCTTTTAACAACAATGTAGGCTCCAGAGTGAACGAAGTCGTTCAGACGCTCCCAACTATTTCTTTCTCTTTTGTATAGAATACTGCCCAGCAGACCACCGTATCACAACCTAGTAAGCCGAAAGCAGACAATTAAAGCCTCCCATGTCCACATTCGGCATCATAATCGACCCTGAAGGATATGTAGAACGCGGCCAATTTCTTGAGGGATGATTCGTTCTTGAGGGATGGACAAGGTAGAGGCCGGAGACATCGTCCATAGATGTATCCGAATCTGAGTCTATCAACCACCTAAGTGGCTAATACAAGGGCCACTAGTAAACACATATCACTGCCAGCCTCGTTCTAACTGGAATAGGAAGGTCAGAGCATCAGCGGCGGCATGGAGGACTGACACTTTATCAGATCCTGCTAGGCAACAATCGGGATGGGGGGCCTGGGCTCATTCCGATCTGATAAGAGCCCAGATCCGAACTCCGAGCGAACATCGTATATACTGTACGCAAAGCGCGTCACGGTTTATTGGATATATGCAATTCTCGCTGACGATATTCATACATATGTGTCATTCCAAAGACCCTGAGAAAGCTGTCGATGGGATTGTTGGTGGTCCGGCACCGGGCATACTCAAAACTGAGCATCGAGCCCGTGACGGGGAAGACCCGGAGATAACGTCTTGGACCACTGATGATATTAACGACCGCCTGGTGCGGTTGAAGAATGAATACGGAGTATGTTAATGTCTTACTTTGATCAATTCTTGCTAACAAATTAGTCAACATGGGCGTCACCCACGGACACCTCCGATCCTTACAACTGGCAAGCTTCACGCAAGATCACCATGGGAATTATATTCTCTTTCGGCCAGCTGATACCCATAATGTCTGCAAGCATGATTGCACCGTCGCTTCCTGCCATCGCTTCCGATCTCACCATCAGCGCTTCTACTGCACAGATAACCATGTCGGTATACTTCCTTGGCATGGGCATCGCGCCGTTCTTAATCGCAAGCGCCAGTGAGATATGGGGAAGGAAGCCAATCTGGCTGATATGTAACGCTTGGTACGTGGCCTGGAACACACTTTGTCCTGTGGGAAGGAACACTGGCTTGATGATCGTTGGGAGGTTTATGACCGGAGCTGGTGCGAGTGTGGGCGTAACGGTAAGTGATAAGACTTATTAACGCCGACATGACAATGACTAATTATCCGCAGCTCAATGGACCAGTCATGGCAGATATGTATGGCGAGAACGAACGCGGCAAATCCCTGGCCATGGTGACGCTACTGCCCTTCCTTGGTCCTGCTCTCGGACCAATCATCGGTGGTCTTGTTACCCATTCCCTCCATTGGTCGTGGGTCTTTTGGATCATGAGTGCTTTCAACGCAGTAGTCCTAATCGTTGGATTCTTCTTGATTCGCGAATCATACACACCAGTCTTGCTCCGTCGCAAAGCCTTAGCCGAGGGTGGTAACGTCCCAACCACCAAAGCTGAGCGTGCTCGCATTGCGCAGAACCTCCTGCGTCCAATCCGCATCTTTATGACAAGGCCTATCACCTGGCTTATCTCACTGACCGCGACGTTGTCTTTTGCCGTCTATACACTCATGCTCGCTACTTACGCGTCGCTGTGGATCGACAAATACGGTCAATCTGAGCTTGTCGGCAGCTTACATTATCTCTCGGTTGCAATAGGCTCGACCCTATGTGGTCAACTGGGCGGCCGCATCATGGACTGGTCGTATCGAAGACAAGCTAAACGGACTGATGGAAAAGGCGTGCCTGAGTTCCGCATCCCCTACATGGTTCCAGGAATGATCATCATGCCAGCCGGTCTCTTCTGGTATGGGTGGTCGGCCGAGCGCACACTCCACTGGGTGATGGTCGATTTCGGTGTTGTTATCTTCACGCTGGGTAGCTTCATCGTGAACCAAGCAAGCATCGCATACCAGATTGAGGAGTTTGGCCAGTTCGCAGCTTCCTCTGGTGCAGCAATTCGTTCTGTCTCGTATGGCCTCGCATTTGTCTTTCCGGTTTTTGCGCCCGACATGTACAACAGTCTGGGATATGGTTGGGGTAACAGCGCATTGGGTTTCGCCTCGATTGGTTTGGGATTACCAGCAAGTGCTGTGCTGTGGTTTTGGGGCGGTAGGATAAGAGCTGTTGGCAAGTCAAGCTGAGCACAGCGATCAACTACACATGTCAATAGAGCATGGGGGTTTAATTGAGGATGTTTAAAAACGGCTAGTTTGAACGAAACCTGGACTGTAAGATACTTAGGTAGAGTTGGAGAGAGTGCGTGATCAAAACGAACGCGTCGCAAGGTCCGCTAACCATGACGTCATTGCCGCATTGACCCACGCCACGCTTGAGCACCTGCAACTTCGAAATCTCGCCCAGGGGGAGGCCTTCTACTGCACCATCGTCGAGTTCCTGATAATCGACCTTGACAATTCCGTTCTCTCCGTGACCCGTGTCAGCATATTCGGGGTGCACAGCCGCTACTCTGGCGAAGATGATGAGCTTGAGAATATCTTCGCCGCTATTGCCGCTCACCCTCGCCCGGCTCCCAGGTCCCAACCTTGGAAGCCACGGTTGTTTAACGTTCTCTTGCGCGTCTCTCTCCCAGCTTTCCAATTCGTGGTCATGTCGAACATATTCCGCATCGATCTCGGAAGCAACCGTCTCGCCATCAAAAATGTTTCCGTGATCTAGCTGGAGAGAGTATAACTTGAGTACCAGAGAGAGCACGCTGTTGAGTTTGCCCGACAACGTGCGTTATACGAATGGGTTGGCCGCAGAATGTAACAGGAAAAGAGAAGCGAAAAAGTTCGGATCGTCGCAGGGCGCGAGCTTGATCAGCGACAGCTGGGACTGGATATCTGTGTAGTCGTTGAGGAATGGCGTACCCGTAAGTGGCAGACGCATCAACGCTCGAACGCGATTTACAGCCTTGTTGACACCAGTCTTGTCGTTTGCGATCTTATGCGCCTCGTCCAAGATTTGGCCCCTCCAGTATACGACCATGGTGGGGGAATGTGCGAGAACCGGTGTCTTGAAGAAGTATTCGTGCGACGCTGCAGCGGCCATGGCATCTTCGTAGTCTGACCGTAATGTCTCATAGGATGTTATTACCACATCGACTGCGGCAAGCTCGTATGCAGTATGCGCAGTGGAGTGGTGCCACGACTGGTGTCCATGGTAAACAATGACACTTGGAGGGTTTTCCAAGTGCAACTTGAGCTCCTTCTCCCATGGGGGAATGAGATCGACTGGAACAACGATCAGGAATCTTCCCTGTATGCTCGTCTTGGGGTCGAAGTCATGCGCATCATGCCCTTCGTCCAAAGTCGTCTTGTCAAGCAAGGGCCAATCAAGCCGATGCATGGCGAAGTCTCGCTTCAAGACGGCGTACAATCCTGTAGCTACCAGCGTCTTGCCAATACCCATGCCGTATGCCACAATGGTTCCATGATGGCCTGCCTTCAATCTCTCGAGGACCCTGTGGATAGCATGGCGTTGATGTGCGTCGAGAACGATGGGCTCTTTCGCATTGGTAAGCTCCTTGGTAAGCTCCGATGGTGTTGCAAAACCCGACCCCGACTCCGTTGTGTGATCATCTGCTCCAACCCGGATCCCTTCCTGTATAAGATTCCACAGCAAGTCATACTGACTTTCCAGAAGTGCGGGACTCACGTCCTTTGCTTCCTTCGTCTTCTTGTTCTTGTTCTTTCGCTTCCTCTTCGAAGGCTTCTGTTCGTCATCTTCTCGAGGGGCGATGTATTCCTCAACCTTCTTTCTCCTCCACGTTGGGTTAAACCCTCCAGTCTCATGGACCATGTTCACGAGCCTGTTTCGGGCATTGGAGGGCGGTCCGGCGGCGTCATCGAAATCTTGGAAAGGTCGCACCCTGAGCGGGTTCCTCCGTTTGAAGTCTGGTGGAAGCATGGCGATGGGTTAACCAACATTGAATACTCCCCGGGTAGGTTATGTGGCGACACCCGCATGCGATCCTAACCTATATCTTCCCCAGTCTTTGACGAAGACTGTTTGTGACCTTGGCTAGGCTCTATGTATCCTCCAGAGTTGTTTATGATGTCGAGGGCGGTTGTGGAAGCTTGGATTGACTGCTCCCGGCGATCAAGCTGGGTAACCTCAAAGGGTTAACAGATGCACGAATACGCCCAGAATTAGTAAGACTGCTGAATAAATGCTGCCCATAATTCCCTGTAGTCGATACGAATGCGCTTGACTTGATGCGCCAAAGGTTGGGGCAGTTGTCGACGTAGTCGGTAGGTTAACTGCCAGCTCTGGAATCTCAGGAAGAGCTGTCTGAAACCGATCTCGGTTGCAGCCTTGTCGTTCTTCTCTGCGGCCTTGCACAGCTCTCCAAGCTCGGTCCACAGGGGACCAGCAGTGGCTTGGAAGTCAACATCGCAGGCTTCGACGTCGTTCTCTAGGACCTCGAGCATCGCTTGCGAGGTTAACTGCCGATCGTTAGCGAGACTGGTTGTAATCAACTTCTGATGTGTGTTTACCTTGCGAGCATTCTGGCGCTCGACGCAGTTGGCGAGTTCCTTCACCTTTTGAAGCATCTTGTTGGGGGTCTTCTTGTTGGGCATGCCGTCTTTAATGGCCTTGATGTTGTTCTTGTGCGTCTCGATGTTTGCGCGCAACTTCTGGTTCTTCTTCTTGAGTTGGAGTACGTCTCCCTTAAAAGTCCGACAACTCAGAATTGAATGTTGGCTTCGAGTTATCCTTCTCGATGGTTTTGGGTGTTTTCTTGGTTGGCTGCGGAGGAAGAGAGGATGTCGCGTTTGTGGGAGGCCTTGGTGTTTCGTTAAGTGTCGAGCTGGGCCCGGCTATCCGCTGGAGCTGATTGAGGGTAGCTGTAGCGATCTCTAGCATTTTGCTGAGGGAGTTGCTGAACAATTGCAGAGCGGCATGGTGATTCAGGAGTTGGTGTAGGAGACGGAGCGTACGGTAAATAAGCGTTGTTGCTTGTTTTGCGTAGTCGTTTACTATTGCCAGGCTGTGTTACGGTTGTTGCTCTGATTTGAACAACAAAGTAAGAAGGCACATAGAACTAGCATGCTGTGTTAGAGCATTAACAGTCTTAGCAAGAGGAAGTGAGTATATTACATATAACGAGCTTTGATTACGCGACGCTTTTGGTACATCTGTGGATAAGACAACGGAGTTTCTAGTTAAGGGCGCACTACGCAATGCTATAGCAGCGTCTACACCTTTTGTGGCTATGCTGTTATTGTCTTAGACATTCGTGCTGACTATGGGCTACCTCGAAGCTGTTACAATTATTTCACTAAACAAAGCACGACTTTAACAACCAGCGTGAAGCAGGACTAGGGCCCTATTCTGAATCGACAACGCATTCTCTTCATCGTGTATGCCTCAGGCTATACGTTTGTCGCCTACGCATCTCATAAAAATACAGGCAGAAGCCCACAATGCTTGCTCTGACCGCTGAGAGCATCTCATACAACGAAGCAATAAGATAACCATGACGCGTCATCATCAAATGCAAACCCCCAAGCCTACCCAATCGCGACCCATCGCACCCAGCATTCCACGCCACCTTCTGCGACCGCGCCAGAACCTCGCCCTACCTCCCGTCAACACCTTCTGCACTGCACCCCGCCCTGTAGCCATCTGCAACTAGCCATCGTGCATCGATCCCACGACACTCATCGCACATGATATTCGTCCGGTACTGGTACCGAAGCGTGGCTTCGCACGCTAAGCCCGCCAACTTCGGGAACTCCGACGATCCCCTAGGCCGCAATCAGGCCAAGTGCGCGGGAAGATGGCGTAAGCGAGCTGCCCTGGGATGTAATCCTGGTCTGTTAAGGCGATGCCGAATGCATGGAACGGGGAATGTGGGATTTGATGCTGGGCGATGCATGGTTGCGTGTGATATTTTGTGATGATGGCCGCGTTGTGCGATCGATAGAAAGTTTCCAGTTGCTAATTCTGCGCCATGGGGTGTGTCTTGGAGAGGCTGCGATGCGTTGTGATTCGTGAGGAAGCACATTGGCACATGTCCATGCTACTGCTAGAGCCTCCATTACTCCTCACTCAGCCCTGCCTAGTGTATGACGTCCATAGCATTGAAGACACGCTAAGTTATCTGCCTTACGAACAACCGTTTGGTAAAAGCCCTGCTGCATTGCATCCACGTGCATAATCGGTCGGCTCCGCAGTGTGGGATTCGACGGTGCGAGTTCGATCTGGCCATGTGCCTGTCAAGCTGAAAGCTAGTGCGCAACGCTAAAGGCAGTTAGTTCGAGATACCCATATCGCTCCAGGTCGCACCTTCGTTTTCTTGATGAGGGGTTGGTTATTAACAGGCTTGTGTGCGTTTTCGTGTTCATGAGATGGTGTTGACGTGCTTGAAGTACCAATAGTAACTAGAATTATTGACATGAAAAGAAGGAAGGAAGAAGAAAGAAAGGAAACAACTCAAGAAGGAACTGGGACAGGGGGGTACAGCCTAAAAGCCGTAATTGACGAAAAAAAAGCGGGAAGAAGAATAGAGACAACGCCCGAACAACTGTTCCTGGGTCAACTTTACCCGAACGTCCTGTGCTTTTGCCATGCTTTGCCATTACTTCGCATGCACATCTGCCGACCGGTCGCTTGTGCCTTCCAAAAGAGCGTAACATGTCCCATGCACCAAAATGATTCAAGACGCCAACGCCAACGCTAAAGTAGGCTATCATCCAGGGCTACCCCAAAGAAACAAAGTGTATGTGCTTCCTAAACCGTGTGACCAGCACTAGAAGAGTAGTATTCGAAAAGCCTGAGCAATGAATCGCGATGTGTAGGCATGTCTTGCCAATAGAGACTCGCCGGAGGAGACGTGTGCGGGGAAATGATGAAGAGCGGAGGGCCGCATCCGCTGCAGTATGATGTGGGAGTGGTCGTATTCGTAGGATGGCAGTAATATTCTCAATCTGATGGACAGCTCCGGGCGGTGTTGTCGGATCGTAAATGCTTATCGTCGAGTCATAAGTATCTGTTGGATCTGTGCCAGCGAGGGATCTTCATTCAGCCACTTGCCCTGCGAGGCGTCTGCTGCGCGTAGCGTGTTTTCGACATAGGCATCGCTGATTGCGAGGAGTTCCTGTAGTCCAATAGTCAGTTTAGAACTTAGTGAGCTAGCACGCAATCTTCCCAGCCTGGTGCTTCTCGTCGCTTCTGAATCCCTCTCCTCCAATCTCGGAGTGGAATAGGGGAATGGCACATTCAACGTACATTTCTCATTGTAGCATCAGCCTGCTGGAGTGCACCCAGATGGCTCGCGTTGGGCCTCTGGCCACGCAAAACGCTGTTGCGGGCGTTCATCCACCGCAGGCCAGCGTGGGCTCGTAGGTAAGCGCGTTGGCATTGGAAGCGTCGCACGGCGGCGTCTGTGATGATGCTAGAACTCGTCAGACCCATTTTCGTGCTAGCTGCTGCAGTCCCCCATGAGGGAAACAGGCAGGAGGAAGTGACCTACTTTCTCAGTTGCTGCTTCTCTGCCTCCGGATCCCCTGAACCCGTACTGGCACTGCCAGAAAAGGGTGTCTGTAGGATGGCCTGTGCCTCGCTGGTGCATTGTCGTAGCAGAGAGTATCCCTCAAGGTAATACTCTTCTGCTGTGGGAGTGGCGCGTAACTGGACGAGGTAGTGTTGTAGGTTGCGGAAGTCGGTCATGATCTCTGCAATGCGCATGGCACGGGCATCGTTGACTAGATGTAAGTCAGCCTTTGTGTTTTGAATAGTCGAATGAATTGGGGAAGTTGGGAGGATGGAATTATTTTGCTGGAGTAGGAAGAGCCTTACGACCGTCAGACATGGTAGCTTCGGCTTTTTTGAAATGAAGATCGACTGGCGACAGATTGATGAAGTGGCTACTAAGAAGTAAGTCGTAGATAGTAGAAGAGAACTAGGCTTGCTGGCGTGGATGGGTGAATTGAGGCGGCGTGGCGAGTATTAAATAGCATGTAGGAGACATGTATTCACGATGATGATGATGGTGGTGGTAGTGTTCATGAGCAAGGCTCTCGATAGCGTAAGGTAGGAATAGCCATGCGTGCAGGGCTGCTCCCGCCGCTACCATAAGGACGTCCCACTTTGGGAACGTGAGTAGCTCCCAGCTGTACTAGGGCCCTGGCCTGGTAGACCACTCAGGACCTTGCATTCGGCAGCTCGAGGCTTGTGAGGAGGTGTGAGAATCGGCATAGTAGCATCACCGTCAGTACCAGTCTCCACTACAACGGGATGGCCAAACATGCAGGAACCGTGCGTCTGCATCTAACCATGCCTATTTTTCGATGCTCCGCTACGTTTGCTCTCCAGCTGGAATGAGCAGCGTTGTGCTGGACCTTTTCAGCAGCCCTAAAAGCGCCACATCGAGCGAAGTAGTTTAGCGAGCCAGCCCTGGTAGGCTGCATCGGGTAAGGCATCAAGGCCAAGCTGTGTATCTCAGCCGCAGTATCCGCTCTGATTGGACGATGCTTATAATTAGTGGTGCGGTCTTCGCGTGGTTGTCCGCTGAGTATGAACCTGGAAGTGCGTGCCCGCGTAGGGTTGACGTGCGCGCAAAGTCGAACAACGCTCGCGAAAGCCACGGTAAGCCACGGTCAGCCACGCGACGGCTGTGCTGGGCACTCCGACGACTAGGAGCCAGTAGCATGACGTCGACGGAGCAGTTCGCGAGTTATTGCAGACCGTTGCAGCTGAGGCAGTATGGGAATCTGGTGTCATGGGCGAGACCAAGTGGAGTCATGGCTGAACTCACCACATGTTTCTTGTCCCAGGACCGGCCACTTCGTCACAGTTGCGCTTATGCAGGAGAGTACAGTCTAACGTCTTCATTCATGGTGCTGCTGGAGCACTTTTGACGTCTGAGAGGTCGTATCATGCTATCTGTTGTTATCGTCATGGTTCGTCTCAGTCATACCTCAGCGACCCACATGCCGTTCCAGCTCCACGGCCAGTGCTCCTTCCTTAGTCCTTGTCTGCGATTGACTGTAGTCGTTCATCGATTTCCTCTTCGGTGAGCGCCCTGAAGGCAGAGTCTGTGCCCTCCTGGCCGTTGGTCTTGGGGCCTCCTACGATGCCAATCTCCAATTCGTTCTTCTTGAAGTCGACCGACAGGACGGTGCTCAAGGCGGTGATGGCCAGCTCGACAACCTCCTCCCAGTTGCCTTCAGCATGCTCCTTGTTCTTCAGCTTCTTCTCGAGGAAGTTGAGCGCCTCCTGCGTCTTGGGTCCAGAGGCTGTTGCCTTGTAGCCTACGTAGTAGCCAGCTGGATCGCACTTGTAGAGTTGGGGGCCGAATTCAGAGTCGAGGGAGACGAGGGTGGTGGCCACACCGAGCGGTCGCATATAAGCCTGCACGTTGCTTAGCATCCAGTCGCACCTTCTTCATGCATCACCACTTACGCGCTGTGTGTAGACCTGGCTGATGTTGGCTATCCTCTTGGCCAGTACGTCGCAGGGCATCTCGTAGCCGTACTTGTAGCGGAACTCGGCAGCCTCACCCCGCGCTCTGCTCACGGAGGCTCTCGCATCGGCGATGGATCCGGTCATGACACAGCCGACTGAGGGCGACAGGCGGAAGATGTGGGATACGGAGGAGGGGTCGATGAGCTTGTCCTGTGCATATACGTCAGCACCTCGTGCAGCCCGTCGTGCTTGCCATACGTACCGGCACCTTCTTCTGCGAGATGACTACTGCGCAGTCCTTTCCCCGCACGCCCAATGATGTGATGTTTGCTGCCGTAATCGCCTTGAATGCATACTCTGCATGTTGTGTTAGTCGTGGCTCCTCCAGGAAGTCGCGGGGTCTATCGTTGCTCGGGCGGCGTAGATAGCTCGGGATGCCTACCAACTTGGTATAGACGACCTTGGTCCGAGAATATGGTAATGTGTCTGTCGT